ACATTGGGTAAGATTTTTTGGCTTGTTTGAAGAAACTGCCTTTGCGGTTCCCCTCACCCTTCATCATCAAGTCGTGGTGTTTGCTCTTTACTGCAGCTGGCTGATCCAGATCGTCATCCATATCGCTCTCATCACTGGAGTCCACATCCACCCTGCAAATGTTTCAAATAAATACCAACTGTGGACACGCAAGTTACATTTTTCTGTGGCAGACAATAGATTTTTGTTCGGTTGCAGATTATAAAGGTTGTGTTAACAGTATCATGACTCATCTCTCATTGACAGATTTCCATTTGAACAGTTTGTTTTAAACTTGGAATCTAGACCTCTATCTGCATTTCTGTTGGCTTTTTACATAATTTACTGTTTTAGTTGCCATCAGACTGTTAAATAAGATGTTTCGCAACACCAACGGGTATGAAGAATCATCACAAAAGACATGCAACTGTTACGTATCCACTGAAAATCGGATCTCTGCTGAGACTTACTCTTTTGCTTGTTCAAGTTTTTTAGCTGCTTCTTTTTTTATTTTCTCCTTTTCGAGGTATTCCTCTAGGTCCTTGCCTTCAAGCTTCACTCTTTTCCTCACCTGTCATAATGGGAAGAGGGGAAATATAGATATAGTGCAAATGATAGAATGACACATTTTGTTGTTTTCGTTGGCTCAGTCTGAATGTGAGACAGGAGCATCCCGTGGGGTAAATTCTGTCTGAAAAGATAAATCTCAGCAGTGTGTCACAGTAAATCAGCACTGTGCCTGTGGGTCCCACCTCCAGATCTAGCATCTTTTCTCCGGGGTTGTCAATGAGGTAGCGGGCCAGGGTCCCAGGTGTGGTGCGGTAGGTCAAGATGATAGCGTTTTTAGCATTTTGACACCAATGGATGAAGAGTTCTCGAGAAAAGCCAGACTCGAGGTCTGGCTGGCTGCAAAGCACCACCTTTGGGCTCGGCACCCGGGCCAGGTCTGCCAGACTGTGGCACAGGTTCAAGTGACGAAACTGGAAGGGGTTGTTTCTCCTGTCCTCAAAACACCTCATTAGCTTGTCACTCATCCACTCCACCTACAGACAAACAGGAGAGTATAAAATGTGTTATTGTGTACATTTATTTGGATTAATTCTAAAATCTGGCCATTTATCATGCTAAATTAACAAATAAGGAACAGTAAAAATAAGAAAAGTGTGAAAAAACTGTGATTGACACCTGGGACTTTGAGAATTCTACTACATTGTAGCTGACATTGTTCAGCAGAGCTAGTGGGTAAGCTCCTAGCCCAGCATCCTTTGTCCTCCAAATCTGATCCAGGAGCTGTGCCAGCTCCAGCACACGGCCGGCTGTGTCCACAGCAATAAGGACATTACCGTCACCACGAAGGGTGTCCATCACATTGGCTATGAGCAAGAAAAATACAAATATCAATGAGAATAAAAGGAGATTTTTTTTTTTTACCCATTGCATGAGTTTTAAATCTAGCAGTTTCACTTAAATGGACACAGGACAAAGAAAAAAAATAATAGTACAGTAAAAACAGTAAGAAAAAAGAAGGTTCAGTTCGTTCTTTGTCTAATGAATGATTTGATAAACATAATAATCGCTTTTATTGGCCAAGTATGTTACACACACAAGGAATTTGTCTTCGGTAAAGAGGTAGCAGAGGTGAAAAAGAATGACTTTTGAAAGTCTAACATAGTGACACCACAAACTGTCTTGTTTTTCACACAATATCAAATAAGGCATGCCCTGTCTAAGAGGACTGATAATATGGCTTCTGAATCATAATTCTGACGTCCCCAGTAGGAGTCAAAATGGAAACATCATGATTAAATTATATGTTTTTAACCACTACATAATGTTTAGTATTATCATCATTATTAATTTAATGGAATATGCTATTATAATATAGCATTACACAAACAAGTCCTGTGAAGATTACTTACTAAGGAGCTGCTCATCCCTTTGTTTGCGACGCGTCTGTACATATGTAGCATTGAAAGAGTCTGTAATGAGTAAAGAAGGACGACTGATGCTCTCCAGTGAACACCCATTCAGGTGGCTAAAGGAAAAGAAAACAATAAAACATGGCATTAACTAACAAACAACAAAACAAAATTCCACTTTATATATATGCTTTGTGCTCACATCTCTCTCTTGTGATTGAAGTCCACAGCGTAAACGATCTCATCCTCTCCGTCCTTAACAATTTTCCAAATAGTCCCTCCAATCATGTGACCAGCTGGAAGCGGCATGATGGAGAGACCATGTCCTTTCCCTGCCAAGTTAAAAGAAATATAGAAAACACTTTGGTATCTTTAGCAAACCTGGGTGACTTCTGACCTACAAGGATGTGCAACTAACTCACCCTTTAGGTTTACAATCTGAGAGTATTTCAGCTGCTGGATTTTATCAAAAGCACAGTCCACATCATCAAGGGTGAACAGAGTGAAATCTTCACTGTTGTTTCGAGACTAAGTGAAAAGAAAGAAATTATTATGGAAGCAATGGTAGTCTTCAAAGCAAGCTCTTTTATAAAGAACTCTACATACAAGACATTTCCCATAGCCCCCTCTTACCTGATAAAGATCATACATGAACATCTGACCCATCTTGTAGACAGGAATTGTTGCATAGATAGTACAGTTTAAACCCAGTTTGCCCACAGCGTATGGCAGGGCTCCCAGGTGTATGGGATCAGGGTGGGAGAGGAGCACAGCATCGACTTGATGAACATATCTGAGGAGGACAAATAACATTCACATTCAAATCACTTGGCACACTTTTGTCCAAAGCAATATACAAATGAGGTACAATTCAAGCCACAGTAGGACAAAAAGTGCATCGGCACTCAGTTGCACGGTTAACCTGACATGAGTACTTAAAGTGCACAAGTGCATACAATGGGTCTTTTGTTTAGCTTTTTTTATTAAAGGCAGAGCGGGAGTCTGCTAAATAAACTGGGTTTGGTAACTCATTTCACAAGACAACGAACAAGACTCATAAACCTGAATGAGGAAGTTTAGATAGATGGGTGCTGAGTGTTATAGTACTCAAGGTAAGAAACGACCAATGCTTATACAATGAGTTGAGCAGAATACTCTTTCTGATGTTACATAGTGCGAAGTGACATGGCCATGTCACGGATGCAACAACCATCCGTTAACTACAACCGGCTATGCTGTACAAATGCAACATGTTACAGTTGGTCATCAATCATATCCGGATCGTTTTCATTCACAGAAAGGGGGCAATGGGTGTAAGCAGAGAAGAGATGCTATAAATACCGTTTCATAGCATCAATGACGTCCACTGAGAAGTTCTCATCCCATCCACAGTCCAGGAGGAAGCGGAATTCATCCACCTGCAGCAGGTAACAGAGGGCCGACTCCTCCTGAACCCCTGACAAGGCAGTCAGCTTGATAATTGACGTCATTTTTCTTCAATTATCACGCTGAAAGTACAAGCAGATTAGCATTAACCTAGATTTTGCTGATCGTAACGCAAAATTAAGCTAATAAACACAACACACCACGTTAAGTGCTGTACCTCAAACTCATTCAATTCATTCAACCTAATTTACAGAGGAAACGAGCAAAACGATGGTCCTATAGTAAAAATAAACTGAACGATGTGGTTATTGTCTCTGTAACGTTATAATGTTGCACACGCTCATCCAAGTTACCAAGCAAACTGTCTATTTAGCATGCTAGCTATTATATATTTTAGCTCGTGGCTGTAAATCCCTTTAATCAACAAAGAAACGTGCGACGTACCATTAAAAATGAAATACTATAAATCTTCATGCGTTGAAATAGAAGTATCTACAATTACTTGAAGTTGTTATGATTCCAACATTAGGACGTTGTAGCTAGGGATGTTGAATAAAGTATTATCATAGAACGTCACACACTTGATTAGCAGACATGTTTGCCGCTACATCATGGGTGAAAGGGCAATAGGACGTACCCATTATGGCAGTGTGAATATAAAAATCATTTTAGTGAAACAATACCTAATACTAATTTTTACCATAATACATAAAGATAAATTTGCTTTTATAGAGCTTTAATATTTTGTAACTGATATAATAGCGACTGCAAGGCCACTACAATAACGTTTTTATGTTCAAGTGACCACCAACATAGCTGCAAGTTGGTAGAGTCCAGTGCCCTCTACCTAGCGGATGAAGAGCTGAAGGCTACAGCTTGGTGTAAACAGTACGTAATATTTATGTATTTAAATGTCGAGTCTCTTTGTTATTCTAGTTATTGTATTGTAACATGTTTACCCTGCTATAGGCAAAATAATTATTTTAAATGACAAACCATTTTCAATGAAAACCTGACATCGACTGCTAATGCTAGCTAGCTAGCTAATTGACTAGTTAGCCAGATGCTGCTGCTTGTGGTCCTGTTACATTACTTTTCTGTAAACAAATAGTCCATCCAAAGGCTATCAATAGTTATGACTTGTCATATGCAGTTTTAGTTATGTCGTCCTGTCAGTTCCCAATTAGTAATATGTCCAATCAGCTTTATTGGTTCCATATTAGTTTGTGGAGGCCCTATAAAAAGAGGTGGACCTAATAGGTAGATCTGTGGGTAGGATGGGGAAAGTTTAAGAATTTTATTGTGGGGTTACCTATTAATCCTTTCAGAGAGATTAGTGTGATACCAGCTTTTCCTAAAGATTATAATCACTTCCTCCGATTTTCAGTGTCTTCAGACATTTTTAAATGGATGGATTTTTATTTAGTGGCAGGTAGAACAATCTATTACATATGGCTTAGACCTGCCAGCAAATGGTAGAAGGTAGCTTTGTCTCATGTCACGTAGGTACTTGAATTAATTCAGTTTTCCTCTTTCTTACCTTGAAGACGTTGCACTGGTTTTATTGGCAGGGGCCATGATAATCAGATCCACAAGGTTTAAAGCAATATTGTATTTGTCAATGTCATTTTTTAATAATTGTATCAGCTTTAAGTTTGTGGGGAAATGGACAGTTCAGTCACTCTCCATTAGTGTTAATGTATTTGACCAAAGAAAAAAATGCCACAGAATAGTACATAATGTCTTCTGCTTATTTCTCTAAGGAACCATGGTCAACTTTGTAGCACTTGTGCGTGAGCACTGGGTGAACATATTGGTCCCCGCGGGCTTTGTGATTGGATGGTACCTTGACAGACTACAGGATCAGAAGCTGACAACTTTCAGGAACAAAAGTGCTTTGTATAGCAGGTAACAACACATAACGGGCTTCCTGAAGGAAAACAGGCCTCTTAGCTTTTTATGTCAAAATCACGTGCTAATGTTCTCTGCTACTGTATACCCACACACAGTTTGGATTTATGACTATGCATTTTGTGGATAGTTGTTTTGAGTCTGCAGGTCACTGAAACAGAACAATAGTTTTAGATGTTGTAGTAAAATATCAGTTGCTCAATATACAGACACCTCAACCAAACATTTGAGATGACAGCTATTTCACACAGTAGTAGCAAAATATGTTTATAACCTCTAGTATTGTGATAGTAAGCATTCTAATAACTATGTAAACAGGATCAGTAAAAGTGAAACAGGATATTTAATACAGTTTTTCAAATCAATTAATTAACCGCCATAAAGTCATCTAATATCCACCTTGGTCTAGGCAAATCTTATGTAACATTCAAATTTCTCTTCTCTGTAGGGAGCTGAAGCCTGGTGAGGAGGTGACTTGGAAGTAGACTACCCCTACCTTGAAGGTGGCCTGTCAACGACTGATGGGTGGCCCTCAAATCAGAATATTTAAGATGATACCTATACCTCTTCTGTTGAGTTTGATATATCAGTAGTCTTTGAGTTGTGTCAGTAATTAATAAACATGCCCTTTTCATCAAAATCATTTGGTGACTTTGGTTACATAACACAGAATCACTTCATTAAAAAAAAAAAAAGATTTAATTGATGCTGAACGGGAAACAAGTTCATAAAACCACCCAACTAATTACATCTACTTGGGACAATAAGTGTTTTTCATTAAAGATCATATTTTGTATAAAGGCAATCTGGATCTGCTCATGCGGTCATGATGCACGACTGAAGAATCTGGTCGCTACAGGGGTTGTGCAGTGTGGATGATCCCCTTCTCAAAAAGCTGCTCAGCTAAAGCAACCTGGGGGAAGAAAAAAACTATGAGGCTAACTCAAACAAACTTCAGAAACATATACTCATTTATGGATATCTCTTGATCCAGTTAGATTAAAATGATAAGGGTGCAATCAAGTAAATGGCTACCAATAACTCAAATTGTTACAAAAGACCCAGCATCCCCAAAACATGACTTCACACAGAAAACATACCTTGTCCTCTGTAGCATCACACGGCAAGTTTCCCACTGTCACAAACTTTGGATATGAATGTATCAGAAATTCGATTGCATCAGTGTGCTGAAACGAAAATGATTATTAGGCTCTGAACACATCATTAGGCCACTATGTTCAACAGATGAGATTTGCACAGAGCTTCCAATCTTTACCTCTGGTTTTATTTCAAAACTCTTGAGCTCCTCTTTGTGGTAGATTCTGGAGTTGTCTGTTGTGTAGTACAGGTGAACAGCTTCTCCGTCACTGCATAATCTGGTAAGAGAAGAAGCCTATAAACTACCTTTTTTTTTTTTTTTTTTTTTTTTTTACATAGTCTTTATTTCTGCTTTGATGGATCATTAAAGCAGAAATTCCTAACATATAGTCAAAGATACTATACTCCATATTTTGAATAGTTTATTCTAACCCCACCTGGTGTGAACATGCTGTGAAATGCAATAAAATTCTGCATTACCTGGCACACCCTGCACGGAGGACCCTTACTTGGGTTTGGGCATTAATGTGTGCACCCACATCAATAACTTGTCCGTCCTCCCACCTAGCAGGTGCTCCTTGAACACTGCTGGCTAACTCGTCTGTGGAAGGTGGAGTACATTTGTTACAGTGAAGCATTATGTATCTCGCTCATTCACAGGACATCCTGTTTTATTCAGAAACATTCACACTTTAATGCCTGAGAATTTCCTGCTCTCCAACTGCACTCCTGAATTGAGTGTACTGGAAATGAGATGATTACAGACATCATTTACCTGGTGTCAGCATGGGAGGCAGGCAGTCATGCAGGAAATCCCTGGCTTTCTGATCCACAGCAGCGTCAACTGGGGCATACTTTGTTAGCTTCTTCATCAAGCTCTCAATTTGTGAGAAGAATTGTGCCCTGCGTGGGTCATCCTACACATAGAGAACTTGGGTTGCTGGTGGATAATTCGGTAAATAGACAAGGATGATGGCAGGAAGTGACCAGTAAAATAAAATAACTGATTAATGACCTTGTCAGAATTCTGTACTCCCATGTACATCAGGTAGTCCAGAGGCAATCCCTGTCTGAACTCCACATTCTCCTCCATTGCTATTTCTAATGCTGCCGGAACCACCTGAAAAGAGGAGATTGAAACCTTTGGCAAAAATAAACTGGTTGTTCATCTGTTTATTCATTTATTTAGAATCCTTATGACAGCTAATTAATATGTGCTTTCAGTTTGTGATTGTGGAAAGCTTTGCATCTTCATTTTATAAAACAGTCAATAGAGCAGTTCATTCTAAATTAAAATTTATATGATAACCCACAGGGTTCTTATATTTTGAGCATTTACTGCTGTTCTGTTTTTCCCTTATGCAATCAGCTGATTTCTAAACTAACACAGTGGGAGTTGTACTAAAATAAAACCAAAAACGATTTAACACATTGGTGAAGCATTTGTGTTATCACCACTCAACTAGAAGAATTGACTTGTTCTGTATTCCTAAAATCCTCTGCTACTGTAAATAGAAAGATTTGTCTGTGTGGATAAGAGTTTTCTGCGTTACAACAAATGTAAATGCTGACATAAAGTGGCTGTAGATTAAATAACCCTCATTTTACTGTAATCAAAACTGGAGTATTAAAGGGAAAATCCCACTGGTTATTTCACTGTAATGTTATATCAATAAAGGCTTGATATAAGAAACAGGCTGGCACCTGCTGTCTTGTTTATGTATATATACATCTAGACTTCTGAATACAGCCTTTGTCTCCATCTGTTAACTGTCACAGTAGAGATCAGATTGTTTTACCTTCTGTAACAAATCCCCCCAGCTGTTCTTCTGGTAAGAGGAGATGGTGATGTGCAGGGAGTGAGCCTCTGGGAGGCAGTAACCCTGATGGATGAATCCTCGTGGAAAGTAGAGAAGATCTCCGGCTTCTAGCACCACTTCCAGGATCGGCCTCCCAATGTCTGCCTGATCGAAGTTCGCTAGGGAGGAAACACAACACTGAGAAATGACCGCTGTCTGTGTTACAGTTTATCCACTCCAAAAAGACAACAGCGCCATATCATCAGCTGTGCAATGACCAAGCAGTCTCTCAGTAGATGTCTAAAGCCAATAACATCAAGATTCATCTGTGAATCTTGTTTACAACCAAACTGAAACAAAGGGTTTTTACTACAAGAAGCAAACCATAAATTATATAGTGTATAAACAGTGTATACTGTATGTTTATTTTGTTACTCACGACTTGAAAGTACAGGCAAATTCTCATCTTCTGTCCTGAAAAAAGTAAGAAAAACAAGATCACATTTCTAAGTATCAATCTCTCACACATTAAACTAAGGCTGGATAAAAATTCAAAGAAAACCAAAACCCCAAATAGAGACTACTCCAACTACTGGGAAATCATTTAGTGCATCATGAGCCACATGTCAAAGAAAACCAAAACCCAAAATAGAGACTACTCCAACTACTGACAAATCATTTAGTGCATCATGAGCCACATTAGGTAAATCTGCATAAAAGCATCCTGGTACATCTGCGACATGGTTATCCTGGATCTGTTAGGCTGCTTTTCCGATCCAAAAACCTTGCTGCCTCACTACAAATCACCAGGATTAAACAAATAAATGAAAAAAGCTGAGTGAACTCATCTTGTTTATATCTAAAGCATAACTAGATCAGCTACCTAATGCAAGTGATTAGTGCACAGGACTTCAATCTCAGAATGTTGAAAACATCTATTGGCATTATTTTTCTGTATTTGTTGGTGTGACTTTATCTTGGTGCTCCTCACTGTATCTTACCTTGGGTTGTACACTCTCCAGCATTTCTTCCCCTCCAGCTGGACCACAAATGCCTCAATGTCGTCATAATGTGGAGCAAAGCCTTGTGTTCCAGGGGGTGTCAGGTATCTGGTGAAGAAAAACTCACATTTAATACTCAAACAAAAACTGAAATAGCAGACCTAAATGTTTCCAGTGAGTTTTTTTTTTGCCTGACATACTTACACATTGGCTCCTACCATGCTGCCAAACTGCTCCTGAAGAATGGACAGCACGTTCCACACTGTTGAGGAGAAAGCCTGGGGATTCAGCATGCGGAGGGAGCAACCACTCTGGGAAATTGAGATACAATGGTGATTACTAGTCTGCGTGGATGATGCAGTGATACAGTTAATGCACGGGGCACAAAATAACTTCTAGCTTGCAGCATAATAAAACAAAACAAAATTAATACACTGCTTGATACATAAACGCATCTGTTTTTTTTTAATGAAGGTGGTCTGAGTGAGAAGACACTTTATTGAAAGCTGGTGCAGCTCATTTGCAAAGAGCCAATTCTTAGGAATGTAATCATAAAAATGCATAATTACTATAATTTTACATTGAAAATAATGACAGTGTTTACATATTATTTGACTTCCTGCTTCACTTTATCCTCTTTACCTCATAGAAGGCCCACACAGTGAGAGGCAGAGCTCTCCCTGGAGGATTGTGCGTCTCCCTCTTGCCATTAGTGTAGCTCGTGACATCAAGGTTCACTCCGTACTGAACTTCCTCCTTAAATTAAAATGTCCAAAACATGTATTTCAGTGTGAAAGAATTTTGTCTTCGTTCAAGTTTTCTATGAACTTCTCCAGTACCACAAGACAAATTCTTACAGTTAAAACTGGTGACAGAACACAGAAGTAAAAAGAAAAAAGAAGAAACATTCCCACATTACATACAGAAAAGTATTTGACTCACTTTTACACTTTATGATATATAGTCATACCTTGTCTGTCTTAAGGATAACAGACTGACAGTTTACAACACAGGTAGAAAAACTGCAGACAAAAGCAGGATGGGCAAGTGTCTATGATCCTTACCTCCCTTAATATGCGATCAAACTCTGCTGTGGAGAACAGTCCCTTGTAGTAATTTGGATTCTTATGTTGAACAAGAATGGGCTTCTTTTCCCAAGTGTCCCTTCAAGAGGAAAATCAATGTACAATTTGGTGAAAGTTCCAGCAAAAGAAATCAAACTTTAGATCAGATGTTGTAATTAATTTAAAACCTATCCAGAGAAAACCATGCATCTTTAAATTTGGTGAAGTAAAGTACCTTTAGAGGTGGAGAAATTCCTCATACTTTCTATGTTAAATAAAGCTTTAAAAACCAAGTAAGCTGAAAAGTTCACTGTCACAAAGCAGGAGCAGAGAATGACAGAGAAGGAGTTATGGCACTTTATCTTCACCCATTCTAAATGATCCTACAGGCAAGAGAGAAACACGGCCAGCATTACCTGAAGAAGCTTTTGGCAGGAATGGGGTTGATGAGCCACTGGAACAGTTTGAATGCTCTCTCTCTGCTGTTGTTGACTCTGGCCAGGTCGGCGAGCAAAGCATCTAGAGCTTCACCATCTCTGGTTACACATTCCTCCTCCTGCTTTTGAAACATATAGACTCCATGATATAAATGATAAAACGACTGACACTGTCATCACAGTGAGGAAAACAATGTTGAAATTCAGATAAACAGATACTTTTTCATGAACGTAGCACCTCCTGGCATCGATCTTAGCACGTACACACTTACTTCTGTATTGGCCTTAAGGTTCTCCTGTCTTTGTGCCATCTTCAGCTTTTTTCGCAGTTTGCTCTTTTCATTCTTTAAGCGAAATTTAGCTGTGTTGACCTTCTTGCTTGCAACCGTGGTCTCCCTTTTCTTTTTATTCTTAGCTGCTACCTAGAAAGACACAGAAGTTGACATGATATCACACTTTTTTTGCAGGACATGTATTGAAAGGCATTTTGCTGAAAAATAAGCATAAACGTCATTGCCAAATATTTCAAGAACACAAGGAACTCGATTCCAGCTCAATGCCCCCCCCCCCAAAACAAAATAAATACACAATATATACAAGTTAAAAGAGCAGCATAGACTAGCTGTTTTAGTAATTAAATTGCCACCAGGACTGTGCTATTTTCAGTAGGCTACTGTTCGTCCTGCAGCTTTGACACAAGAAACCACACAGCCACTAAACCAGAGCAATAATGTCGTAGCTACACTAACCACATTATTTAAATACCGTCTACCTGCAGTGAAGGCTTCTTAGCAGGAAAAGCCAAATCTGTTGAAAACGTCTGATACAAAGCAAAAGCTGACATGTGTTTGCTCTCCATTTTCCATTTTACATCATCACTGTGCGACTGCTGGAGCCTCTCCTTCTACAGCTATTTGTGTACGTTTGCCTCATAATGAACTCACTACCGCCACCCATAGACTCACAGTGCAAGTCACAGCTTACTAACGTTTGTATTATAAGCTAATGCTCCAAATACAGTAGTTGAAAACACCCCAAAATGTATTGCAGTAAAAAAAATTTAAACGATATGATAAGAAAAAGTACATATAAAAAAAGGGGAAAACAAGCTTTAATTAAAACAAGCTTTTTAAAAAGTAAAAAAAATATGAAAGAAAAACAGTATTATTGTATTTATTTTTCCATTTGGCTGCAAATAGCAAATATAAAATAATAAAATTCCAATTGTAATAATTGTAATGACAAACAAAAACAAACAAAAAAATATTTTTTGTTGGAAGATGATGATGATGATCATGTTTGCAGATATTGTTGTTGTGTGTACCCTACATGTTTACTTATGTTAACTAGACAGTTTTTTCTTTCTTTTTTAATTTGCTATTGGTTGTGTTATTCTGTTAATTTATATTGTATATGTGTATATTTGTCCTTATGGATAAATGGCCGATTATGTAAAGTTATCCCAGCGTGTATAAAGTTTGTTTAATGTTAGGACCATCAGGTAGACGACCTGAATGTGTTCTACTGCAGGTTTGACAATCAACACTCCCCCCTCACCCTCCCCACCTCAGACCCAGCAGCCACTGTCCTGACAGTCACCACCTTTCCCCCCTGCCACCCACCTCTAACAGTCTGTGAAAAGGATGTGCGTGGCCTCTTTAAAAAACAAAGGATCAGAAAGGCACCAGGCCCAGATGGTATGACCCCCCTCCTGCCTGAAAGTGTGTGCCAGTCAGCTGGCCCCCATCTTCACACTTATCTTCAACAGGTCACTGGAGCTGTGTGAAGTCCCCTCCTGCTTCAAACGCTCCACCATCATCCCAGCCCCCAAGACAACCTCCATCAGTGGACTGAACGACTACAGACCTGTCACCCTGACATTTGTAGTTATGAAGTCCTTTCAAAGACTGGTGTTGGCCCACCTGAAGGACATCGTAGACCCCCCTGCTGGACCCCCTGCAGTTCGCCTACCGGGCAAAAAGTTTTTGTTCTAATTTTATCTAGTCTCCCACTAAACATTCCTTTGGCTGACTGCATTGTTTACTTCCTGTTTATACTGTTTATTTTGCATTGTTTGCATTGTTTATTGCTTGTTTATACTGTTTATTTTGTTATACTACACAACCTTATGTTGGTATATTGTTTACTTGCCCCTTGCTGTTGACTTGCATGAGGATATGTACGTGCACATTGAGAGCCGCTGTACCAGAGTCAAATTCCTCGTGTGCACCACACCTGGCCAATAAAGCTGATTCTAATTCTGATTCTGATTCTGATTAATTCAGTGTATCGCAATACCACAAACTGCAGTACCAATATTCACCACAAGGTGAAGCATTTTCCCCACATAATCAACATTGTTTCCCATAATGCTTTGCTGCGTGGTCTCGGTGCTGTTTGCTCCAGCCGCCCGCTCCAACAATGCAGTTTTTAATGGTGCTGTGAGCGGTGCGAGCTGGAAACGCAGCAGCACCGCAAGCTTGTTCTGAGACTGTGGTCGGACACATTAAGCACAACGACATTTTTACGGTTTGACAAACCCGCTGCACGCCCGAGACTCGGCTTTATTTGGGTGTCCCGGACTGTTCTGCTGGGGTGAGTAGCTGCTGAAGCTAACGTTGGTCTGCCAGTGTAGTATAAGTGACTACTGCTGGCTAGCAGGCTAGCAGGCTAGCTTATTGGCCAGATAAGACATGGCCCCTTGTGTGTTTAGCCTGCAGTCCCACTGCTCTGCTAATACTGTGAGCTTATTTCTTCTCCTTCTCGTTGCGCTTTGATGCTGCATTTCTAACTGGTGTGCAAGTAATAGATGGTTTTTATAAAGACTTTGGGACAGTTGAGTCGTTTGTTGTAGACGCTGCAAATCGTGAGCGTGTTTTGCCTGATCTCAGCTGAGGCATACGTCAACCCAGCCAGGGTAGTGGGTGTTCTGCTGTGATGTAGTCAGACCTCCAGGGCTGACCCTAATGATGTTTCGATTATAAACATATTCTCAATATTTGACACCCCCCCGACCCAAAAAATGGTCAAGTCAAGTCCCCAAACCCCCAAGATTATTGTCTTGCAAGATGTCATTTAAAAAGTATTCATTACGATCTGCTTATAGATAAGCATTTTATAATACATAGCAATTATCAAAACCAATATTTTGTTTATTTTTGCAACAAACTGTTTCTGTATCTTATGGGCCATCGTGTACTAATGAAGACACAAATTCACATTGCTGTTTTTATTTTATTTTATTTTTACTGACACTCCATCTGTAAAACAGGCGATGTGGAAGTTCTCCTCGGGCTTGTCTAGGATTCTCTCAAAATTACTAACACATTCGAAATCTTGCTCTGACAGTCATGTAACGTACCTTCAAGCAAGGTGACGAACACATTTTTGCTGATAGTCATTGACCTTGTTGCCAGTTGAGAAGATCAGCAGTTATTGCTGGTATGATCTTAAACCTGAGATGTTTCTCTTTTTTCCTGTAATTTTGATTATTTGTAATTTAGTTTAAACTGTAATATCTTTTTTTTTTTGTCTAAACTCACTGCTGGTGGTACCCAGTGGCCATCCAATTTATATAAATGAGGATAGACTGCATTTTAGAAACAGCCTCTTAGTGTAACACAATACAGTTAAACTCTTTTGCCACCTCTCTAACACAGTTTCATCATTGCAACCTCCATTAATTGCATTAGTTTTAGCTAGAAGTACCTTATAACCAGGCAACTGATTAAAGATATTGTGTAATTTTTATTGTGGTCAACAACCAGATGTGAGCCAGCTGATAACACTGATGTTGCTGCTGTGGGTATTGCTATTAAAGTGTGCTTCCTTAACCACTAAATAATTTTTCATGACCATTTCTGAGTTGATCACTTGATAACAGCCTTACCAGAGCTGTGTGGCCAGTTTGTTTGTGGCTATATGCACATCTTAGTGCATATTTACCTGACATGAGGACGGTTTATATTTAAACCACTTAACAAATCATAGATAATGAGCTGAGGAGTCAGATTTCATAGTTTGATTGCATGCTAAAATTTTATGCTTCTCAAAGTCACATACCTGGTGGCACAACAAAGCTGCTGAGCATGTAAGATACACTGTGTCCTGAATGTGATGATGCAGAGAAAACTAAATAAAGGATTGCAGGGATTTGGTTGTGTGAAATACAAGAAAATTCACTTGGCATAAAATGCAAATGCTTTAGAGTTCAGATTTCACCTCGCTGTCTGTTTTTTATGTTCTTTCCTCACTTTCAAACCAATATGCATCAGTTTTTAGTCATGTTTTCGGTTTTATTTGTTGTGAATGATTACATCTCGGAACCATATAAAGGTATAGATTGTAATTTTTGTTGGCCAGTTGTCTTTCACCCAGTCAGTGCCATAGCCTTTGAATGTATCACAACAGATGCTAATTGTTTTTACAGATTGGTGTATCATTTGTGGTATTTTTCCATGTTGGGATATAAAGAAATGGCAGTATGATATTTTAAACGTTTTAGAAATGGTCTAAGAAAAAAAGGGATTAGGAAACTGTAACTCTGTCGGAATAAATATCAGTGCAGCTTTTATCTTTGACTAGTAAAATTACCAAGCAGTCAATTTCAGCTTTTCCACTTTGTTAGATTGGACCACAGCATATATTAATATGGGCTGTATTCTATTATGGACAAGGATATTGATCTTTTCTCACAGGGGAGTGATTGCTGTCTTTGAATTTTTCTTTTTCTTGTGGTTACATAGTAATTATGACAAAAGCAACGTTTTCATTATATTGCCTCTTCCTGCAGTTTCTTGAATTTTCATGTGTGTAGAGGTTTTTCTGGTGGCATCGTTTGTTGTGTTAGAGCAGCGGAGAAGCTTTTGCCTGATACATATGGTGGTAATTAGGAATAAAAAAAAACAAGTTGCCAAGTAGCTCTTGTGGCTTTTTGAAAAGCGTCTGTTAGACAGTAAACCTCAGTGTGTGCACGGAGGATCAAATACAAACAACCAGATGGTTAACAGTGAAAACTTACACTTTGGTGAGGAGCATTTGGCAGATAATGTGGATGGTCAGGGACAGTCAGAGCACATTACTTCTCCAATTGGTGCTTTAATGCACTTTCTGGTAGAATTAAAGACCTTAATTTGAAACCTTTTGGCTGTTGTGGTGTGCATGTAGCTTGGCAGTGCAGTGGTGCCACCAAGGCTCCAGCGATTTCATTATTGATTAATTGATTATTCTTTCCAGTTAATCAATTAGTGATATAATTTGTGAAGCAGCTGAGAATAATGTCCATCACAACTTCTCAGAGTCCACGGTGAAGTTTTCAGATGTCTAATTTTGTTAACCCAATAATGCAAAACCCAAAGATACTCAGTGAATATTCACAATTTAGAAACTATAACTGGTGAATTTCAGGCTTTTTTTGCTTAAAAAAAAAACTAACTTTATTAATTACCATGAAAGTAGGTGCTGATTTATTTACTGTCAGTCAACCATTCTGCCAATTAGTTAATTGATTATTGTAAACTCTAAGTATTAATATGCTAATAAGGATGGAGAATGCTTCTTTATTGCAGCCCTGGTTTGTCCTTAAGTCCAATTGTGGTTTCACGGAGCAGAGAGAGAGAATTTGGCTGTGTTGTTAAGCATTAAGGCCTGGGCAATAATTGCCACATTATTTTAACGAGGGTCTGGATAAATCACTAAACGCATCCCTGAGATAGTGTAGAGGTTTTCTACTTGAATAGCTCAGCGTTGGCTCAGGATGGCGGAGCAAGCTCTTCTGAGCTAATGACCATCTTCTTTAAGAGGAGGAAAAGTTAGGCCGCATTAACATAAGACAGCTTGTTCTCTATCTTTATTGAATAGTAGTGGGATGTTTTTTTTGTTTTTTTTTTTGCACTAGGCAAGAGAGAGCTCCATGCACATTTCTGACAAGGACAGATGCAGCAGCTTCACTGTGGAAAGAGATGGCAGGACTAGTTTTTCTTTTGGCAGAGCAAGCAAACAGCAGCTCTCCACACCATCCCTGTAAGTCAAGCAATAGGATTTTTCATCTGATTTATTTTCCAAGCAGCAATGTGTCCTTAAATAGAAGTGCCACTTTCCTACATGCAGTGGACCTTGGTGAGTGTCACTTTTGAGCTCAAGGTAAGTGCCATGTGTGACTGAAGCCGTTAAAAATAAACGCTTTGTTGCAAGGCATGACTGATTGTCAGTCCTTTCTTTAAACAAGTCACTCAACAGAACATGTCGTCTGTGAAAAGAGCGCAGTCGCTGGTATAATGAGGCTCTCACCTTTTTCATCCCCCTATTTTGTCCCCTAGCTGGGAGAACATTTGGTCATAGCTCCCCCCACATAGTTCTGCTGATCATATTGACACGCTGAGTTCAAGCCCAGGGCATTTCTAAGACCGAGTGGGCATTAACAACATGACTTAAAGTAGTGCGAGTGCCCTATGTTGATACTCAGGTAGGATCTCTTTCAGGGTGGCACACTGCAGTAATTCTCCCCTGGCAGGGGCTAATCACCCTGGCTCCCCTCCCACAATACATCAGTGTCTGGAGGACAAGGCTTGCGGGGTTCTGGCAGCTGTTGTCAGCCCGAGTCAATCTGTTATGGACTATTGCGGGCTGTGCGGGAGGGGGAGAGGCAGAGCTCACAGGAGGACACGGCACGTGGGCTGCTGCCACTGCTATGGCAAGATAACAAGAGGATTTATTTGTTAGGAGGGCAGGATTTCAGGGCTTGAGTGTAAATTGTGTTACCCGCTAACGGTTTTCTCTGAAATATTTGCAGGGGAAAGCCAGGCTTTAGCATGAATTGTATACAAATACAAGAACTAAAGATTGTGGGGCTAAAAAGATTAGTTGATAGACCTGAAAATTTTTGCCAGCAATTTTGATAATCCCTAATAATTGTTTCAGTAATCACTTAAGTCATTTATCAAGTAAAAACACTAAACAGTCTGTGGTTGCAGCTTCTTACACGTAAGGATTAGCAGCTGTTTTAGCTTTATAAACTGAATATTTTTGTGTTTTTGCCTACTGCTTGCACAAAACAAGAACACACCATCGTAGGCTCTGGGAACATGTAACTTTTAGTATTTTCTGACATTTTGTAGACAACAAGCTGACAAGTTTCCCCAGATGCGGATCCCTTAAGTTAGTGCAATGGTTGTTACCTGAAGGCTGCTTTCTGTGTTTACTTTCAGTCAGATTCTGAGGATAGTGTTTGAAATGCTTCATGTAAAATCGTGTTTGGAAAGCTGCAGGAGGCTCGCACTGGGTCCCCAAATCTCTGCAGTGGAGATGGTGAGAGCAAGGTTAGCACAGAGTTTCAGTAACCACTAACAGGAGTTATCCTTCCAAGTGCATAGACTTTCCTGTCCCTAGCTTAGAGTGTTCCTAAGCTATTCGGTTAAAATGTGACCAACCGCATTTAGTTTGAGAGTGGCAGATTGCATGTGTAGTGTTAACAATTTGAATCCATATTCAATCTTTTCAAAAATAAACGGCTTCACATCCACAAAGAAAACATCTGTGACTTTTAAGATATTTATGCCAACAGCCTCAGAGTGACAGTTGTTTAAATTGGTCTTATT